AAACAGTTCCTGTTTTGTCTTATTTATTTTTTAACATTGTGATGTGTTTTTGGGTGACTTCATTTACTAAAGCAGTCAAGCTCACCGTTGTGTGGAGCCCAGAGGAGCATGCACGTGCTGCAGTCACAGCTGAATAAATGTCCTCACAGCTGAGCGTTTCTTTCTGTTGCAGATCATCTCTCAGGACGAAGCCGACCGCAGAGGGAAAGTCTACGACAAATACATGTGCAGCTTCCTGTTCAACCTGAACAACGGTAAAACGCAGCACGGATAAACATATCTGATGTTACATCTGAGGTCTTTCTTCTTTAATTTACTACATTCAGCTCAAACACGTCTGATCTGCTGAATAAATGAATTCTTCCACTCTTGTTTTTGAGGACAAAGTCAGAAATGCTCTCTTCCTTCCAGACTTTGTTGTTGATGCCACGAGGAAAGGCAACAAGATCCGCTTCGCCAACCACTCGGTGAACCCGAACTGCTATGCAAAAGGTACAAAGATCAGGTCGCGGGAGCTTCCTGCTGGTTCCTGCCTCTCTGTGGTAACTCTGCTTCTCCTCTCTGCAGTGATGATGGTGAACGGCGATCACAGGATCGGGATCTTTGCCAAGAGAGCCATCCAGACCGGAGAGGAGCTCTTCTTCGACTACAGGTCAGTGACGAAAAAGTCAAATCACTGACGGAGAAAGACTCCTGAGGTTTTATCTGAGTGACGATGACAGATCAGGGTCACATGGAGGTCCAGCTGCAGAACAGCTCGGTTAATGTTTCAAAGTACTTTGAACATGCCTTCATCTACATACATCACCTACAGTCAGTGTGTCACACTCAGAGCTCTTCGTGTTGTACTTTAAATGTCTTCAGGACGTTTTCTGACTAAAGAAACTTTGTATTGGAGGATTTCTTTAGTTTTGATTCTCATACAGACGCAGCTTTTGGTCTGTGTGCAAAGGTTCTGTCATCCAGGTCAGGCCAGTCTAACTGTTTAAGGGTCACATGACTCTGGATCTCCTCCAAGAGGTCAGGATGTTGAATAACCAGGAGTGCCGTCAGCTTTTGATGGCACTCGGTCAAAAGCTGAGTCAGATGAGAAGTTTAGCTGCTTCAACTCGAGTCCTAAAAGTTTTCTTGGTCTGACTTTTTTTGAAAACGTGTGTGCATATTAAGATTATTATTAAAAAAAACTGTCAGTTTTTCTGCTTTTGTGTCTTATTAGCATCAGAAAACATTTTAAAGGTTTGTTTCCTGTTCCTCAGGTACAGCCAGGCCGACGCTCTGAAGTACGTCGGGATCGAGCGCGAGATGGAGATCGCCTGACCGGGACTTCCTGTGTTTTTCAGTGACACAAAGGCCTTACACACACAAACAAACAAACAAAAAAACACACCCTCACTTTCAGGAGACTCAGACGATTCGTCACAACGCCACAAAAGCTTCAGGAAAAACAAACCGGGGATATTTGAAGCTGATATTTGTTGTTGTTTGAGTTTTTGAGAAACTTTTCACGTTTTTTATGCTTTGATTTGTCGACAAATCTTCCTCTTTGGATTCATAAATCTTCCCTCTGCTGTAAGCGCACCGACAAAAAAATATATAAATATCTCTTATCTGTCTCATCTTTGAGTAAAAATGTTCTGCAGCGAGAGGAGAAAAAAAGCCCGACTGTTTTTAAAAGCTCTCAGTTCAAGCTTCAGGGACCAAAATCCTCCACCAGCCACTTTCACGCCGCCGACCAGACTGTTTGTACTCCTCGTGTGTGTCTGTGTGTGCGTGCGTGTGTGTCGTGTGAACCTGTCACTCCTCAGAGCGCCGCTTCACTGTCTGTCTGTAAATCTGGAGGTCGTTCACGAAGCAGCGTCACACTGAAACCAGCTCCGACCGTTAAAAACATTAGTCGATAAACAACAGGAATATTTTAAGAATAAAAGAAGCTGTACGTTAAAGATGGACATGGCTTTAGTGAAGTCGACTGTTGGCGTTTTGGTCACCGTTTAATTTGTTTTGTTTTGTTTTTGAGCCAGAAGTGACAAAATTTGGATGAAAGGATTCACTCTTCAGTTACGAGGTTAAGGTTCGCTAGGTCGGTTGTCAGGCGGCAGGTGTACAGGTGCACCCACAGACAGGTAACTGCTGGCTAACGGTTAGTAAATGCTAACGGCACAGACGGAGCCCAGAGGTCGAGCTCGGAGGCTCAGATTAGCAGTTAGCGTCCATTCTGTAAATAGTACAGAAAGTTAAAGTTTAACACAGGTGAGTGTGGAGTGGGGCCTGTAACTCATTCTCACTGGTTTCACTGGGCTGATGTTGGGAAATGCTCAGATCAGACATCACCCCCCAGGACTGACATCAGTCGCGCTGTGATCTCCACTCGAGTCGGTCCTTTTGTTTAACTCGCCTGTTTGGATTT